GTTGCCGGCGGGTCGTCGTGGTCGGCTGGGAGGTAGAGGTGGGCGTTCCAGCTTCCGACCCTCTCCTTCTTGTGCGCGTTCTGGTGGCCCCCGAGCGCCTGCGACTTGACAAACTTCTTCTCGCAGAAGAGGCATGAGAACAGCCGCCTCGATGATCTCGCTTCACAGGCGCCACCATGGCCATGGACATAGCCGTTGTCCCCGGCAGCAGCGAGGTCGTCTGCTGCAGCCCAAACAGAGGAGGATGGAGGTGGTGGCATGGGGGCCAGCGTCAGAGACAGGTCTAAAGAAGATGGTGCGCCATGGGGAGCCTCCATTGGAGAAGATGGGGAGATATTTGCAGGCCAGCCCGGCTTCTCGCCTTCTCCAATGGCGTTCACTCTCTAGCCTACTGTCTACTGCTAGCCAATGAGGTGTGAGACGTTTATAGATGGAAGCGTACCACTTGCTAAGTCTGGGGCCACATTATTGTGTGGAGGGCCAAGGTCCACCATGGGTGCCCACCCATCCCCACCGGGTACAGCAACTCACGAGGAACACGAGCTCAGAGGGACGTCGAGGTAGTACATCATGGCTACAGAGGTGGTGACAGCTCGGTGGTCATTTCTGCGTGCGTTTGTTGGTCCTTAATTATTCTTTTGTGGAAAGGTCAAAACCATGGCAAAGCCTTACCTGAACTATGGTTCCGCGAAATCCCTGCATCTGCCGAGCACTTGTTTCCCCGCTCCATGATTTTTAACTGCAGTTCCGCGTGCTCCGGGAGTGTGCCGTGGAGCGGAGGGACTCAGAACAGGCCCTAAGTCCGGACCAAGAGATTACATATATTAGCAAAAAAGAGGGTTGCAGCAATGCCAAATCATAATCTTGGTCCTATGTATGGGGGGCATGATGATGAGAGGGGTGGTCATCTTTAAAATTTGACCTTCATCTTACGGCTCTTCCATAAGTCATAGAGGATGTCGTGATCGTGCACTCGAGCTGGAGTGAATCTTTGGAGGGGTAGGGAAGGAGGGCGTGACAGTGGGTTCCGGCGTCTCTTGACGGAGGTTGCACGTACCGGTCATTTCATTGTGCATGACAAAGACCTGAACTGTGATCACTTAGAAGCATGGATGCGACAAATGGCTCTTCCCTCCGAAAGTGCCTTTCTGCTCCCGAGCTCATTTGAGCTCGGTGAACAGTAAAATCGAAAAAAATTCAAAAAATTTCAAATTTTTTTTGGAAGAAACATTGACAAAAGTTCTAAGTGCCTGCAAAAATTCATCATGAAATCACATTCCTGTAAAGCGTGGCAAAAAAACAAATTCAGTGCTCCAAAATGCTTTTGAAAGTAGCTTTTTCAGAGTACTGATTTTGTTTTTTTTGCCACGCCTTCTAGAAATGTGATTTCATGGCGAATTTTTGCAAGCACTTAGAACTTTTGTCAATGTTTCTCCCAAAAAAAATTTGGATTTTTTTAAATTTGTTTTGATTTAGTTTTGATTTTACTGTTCACCCGAGCTCATTTGAGCTCGGGTGCAGAAACTCCGCGTCCCCCTCCCTCTTTTTTTTCTTTATTCGACTCTTTTGCTTGATATTTTGAATGTGTTGATGGACTGAGCCTATAGCTTATGCGATAACAAAGTAGCATTGCACTTCATATGTGATTCAAGGGGTATCTATATATGACCTAGCTAGGAGCACACTGAATGTTCCTCCTCTGACGCGTAAAAAATCGCATGTCTCTTGTTATCTCCTCTATGTTATTGGCTCTTATTCCACCACACCTGCTTTCACACCCATTCTTTTGGTTGCATCACCGAATTTTTTAAACGAGTTAGTTTAGTGGATATTCGAATCAAGTGATGCATTCTTTTATCTATAGCGTTTTATTGACGCAAACGTCACATCAAGGCGATACACGACACATCGAGCACGTACACGACCTTTGCATAACCAGATAACATACCCAAACACGTACGAAACATCCAAGAGTTACAAGAAGAAAAATAGACATGACATGATTCAATCGATGCATTTAAACAAAATGAATTATCTTTAGAGCATACAATAAGATCTAATTATTTTAATTTTGTGAACTAATAGGCCAGCCAACTAGCTTATTTCAGGGTTTCTGGCCATGTGTGTTCAGTGGGAGGAAACATTCCCGTCGACTACGAGACACCTTTGGTGACTTCGTCAATCTCAAGGTAATATGCCGGCTCAGTCTCTCGGAGGTGCTCATAGTAGATTAATGAGCTGCTTGCCTCGTTAAGCTCGTGCTCGTTAAGGTTCGACTCATTATGCTCGTTAAGATTAACGAGCAGAAAACCCTGCTCGGTTCGGTTTGTTTGAAGCTGTTAAGCTCGTGAGTGCTCGCGAGCGCTCGTTAATAGATTCTGATGTGTTACGGTCTACATGATGAGTGTATAGATGTGGTTTTTAAGAAGGGAAGATGGTGACTACAAAATAAAATGCACTACTTTGTTTACTGATATGTAGATTAGATTGAATATATGGGATGACGTGCTACAAAAATTTTGTCACATAAGATGGAAATATGTGTTGTGTTGTTACTAACGAGCTTAACGAGCTACTCATGAAAGTCGTTAGCTCGTTTGTTAAGTTCGTTAAGCTTAAGAAGCTGAAATCGATAATTGGCTATGTTCTTTAAGAAGCGAGCCGCGAGCTTAATGAGCAGAACTATCGAGCGCTTGTTATGCTCGCGAGCTACACGCTTAGGGATGGCATCCGCAGGGTTTGTGTACGGGTGGAGCCATCTCATACCCTTACCCATCATTCCAAACCTTACCCATCACCCGTACCCATACCCATTGATGGGTATAATTTTTTTCCATACCCGTCACCCATCAGGGTAAATGGGTACCCGCGGGTAAAATTACCCAGATTTGTAACACACCAATTTGAGCATTACATAGTCATAAACAACAACTTATAACAATAATTGATAAACAACAACACATCATTACATCGACGCATGCTCGTTCATGGGCTAACTATTGTGGTGCGGCGGCCTAACATGAATGTATGATGAGGTCTTGTTAGGTCTGTCGAATTTATGTACATATAATATGTTTCATATGTGGATAATAACATATAAGGTCTATTTGTCATAATATATGCGGGTACATGGGTACATGGGTATGGGTTATACTAAATCATACCCATACCCACCATACCCGTTGGGTATGAAATTTTCCTGTTTATGTACTCATGGGTACTTTTTTGACCCATACCCTTGCCCTAATAGGGTTTTTACCCGCAGGGTACGCGGGTAATGGGTACCCATTGCCATCCCCACGCTTTTGGTCCAGCCCCACTTATAGGGGCAGAGTGTGTGTGTTCATAGCAATTAATGTATGCTCGTATATATGAATACCTCATTAATGTGTTAATAAGTTACTAATCTAGCCTAGTAAGATACTAAGCTCTCTAGATTTGGAGCCTCCTGTGCGTCGGGGGGTTGTGGGGTCACTGGCCCCATCTGTATGGGTGTGTATCATTGTTTGAGATTCATGTTTATTTTTTAATTTTATTTTTTTAATCTTTTTTTGTAGTTTTTCATTTATTTTACTTTATTTTTGTTGACATTTTAATTCATGAACATTTATAAAAAAACAATAATTAAAAAAGGTGAAGAAAACATTTTTTAATGCCTTGATTATTTTTAAAATTCATGGACCTTATCTGAATTTATGAATGTTTCTAAAGTTTATGAACATTTGTTTAATTTGGGAACTACCATTCAGATTTGTGAATAATTTTTTAAATGAATAAAGAATTTTTATATTCCCTATATTTCTAAAAAACATGGTTTTTTGTTTGCAAAGATATTAAAAATCAATGATTTCTTAAAACCTATGAGCATGTTTGATTTAGTGAGTCATTTCAAATTTAAAAAGGTAGCCAGATTTGAATAAGATAGCAGTGGATCAAGCGGGAAAAGCGCAAAGCGAGCGAGTGGACCAGGGAGCCGTAATTTCCGGCAAGAAAAAAGCTGAGCACCAACCGTCTGATTCCACCTCCCCCCCCGTAGATGATTCCGTGTGCCTGCGGTCCATAAGTGTAGCATCGCTGGGCAGCGGACAGTGGTGACTACTTTTTTCGTCAATCTAGACCCTAGAAAGAAATTTCTTCAGTGTTTTCTCTAATCTTAGGGGGGCACAGCCCCAGAAATGCACATAGCTCCGCTAGTGCACTGGCGGTTGTAATATACAGTATCGGCGCGATGTCATGTATGTTGATGGGAGCACACATGTCCGAACTCCGAAGTCCGATAGACAACAAACATAATAGTGTGCAGTGGGGAACAGATGGACATACGGCTTTGCATGCATGGACCATGAACAGATTCATTTCTCTGTATATCACCTCACCGTGCATGGCGTCCAGCGACAGGTGAAGAAAAGTCTCTCCTTTGCGAGACCAGGAATCAATGAGGAAAGTGCTCATGTTAGCTTTCTTGTTTGCTAACTTTCTTTTTTCTTGTTGCTAACTGAGACAACCTGAAGTGATGAACCTGAGTTCCCAGATTACTACCGAACTGAAGTGATGCAGGAGAGGAGAAGAGAATGACAAAAACACAACACAACGTCCAGTTTCACAATGACTGTGGAAACAAAAACTGCAAAACTTAATCACAGTTTCTTTTTTCTTTTTGCGAATCAATGAGACACAATTTGTAGTGAGTAACCTCAGAGTTGATTGTAAAAATAAATAAATAAACGAGCTAGGGGGAAGACTGTCGGTAGTACAAACCAAAGTACTTCCTCCGTTCCAAATTACTCGTCGTGGTTTTAGTTCAAATTTGAACTAAAACCATAACGAGTAATTTGAAACGGATGGAGTACATGTACAGTACAATACGAACATGATTGCCAGCATATAATTACGTACGCAGATAGTAGGTCTAGTGCAAACACACACAAGCTAATATATAGCTAGTTCAAGGAGGATGAGATTGAAAGAAACATAGGAAAACCTACACACAAATTAGCTAATTAAAGCTTAAGGTTGAGATCAAGATGCTGCGGTAGAAGCATCTGTTTCTCGTGGTCCTCGAGGCACGCGCGCCGCCAGCTCCTTGCCGGCACCGTAGCCGTCCGGGTGGCCGGCTGGTCGTCGTGGTCAGCTTGGAGGTAGAGGTGGGCGTTCCAGCTGCCGACCCTCTCCTTCTTGTGCGTGTTCTGGTGGCCTCCCAGCGCCTGCGACTTGAGGAACTTCTTGCAGAAGAGGCACGAGAACAGCCGCCTCGATGATCTCGCTTCGTCGACGCGGCTGCCACTGTGGCCATGGCCATAGCCGTCATCGCTGACGGCAACGGCATCTGCTGAAGGCCAGAAGGATGAGGATAGGGCTGCTGCTGGTGATGGTGGCGGCATGGGGGCAGTGTCAGTGAAGGTCTAGAGAGCAGGCTGCGCCATGGGGAGCCTCCATTGGAGAAGAATGGGAGATATTTGCAGGCCAGCTCAGCTTCTCCTGTGGCTTTACTTCACTCTCTAGCCTACTGCTAGTGCTAGCCATGAGTGTACCACTTGCTAAATCTAGGAGCCGCATTATTGTGAAGTGCACCAACGTCTACCACGGGTGGGCCCACCAGCTATAGCCAACTAGAGGACCACCAGCCCACAAGGATGCCGAGGCAGATCATGGCTACAGAGGTGGTAGCATTTTGGCGGTGATTCTTCTCTGTCATCATCTTGTGTTGTTGATCCAATTCTTTTATGGAAAGGTCAAAAGTTCGGCAAATCTTAACCATGTTTCCACTAGACCAAATATTAAGGCCAAATCAAGCGAATGCAATCTTTCAAAAAAGTAGGCCCTGTCCATCATCTTGTGTTTTGATACTTTGATCTGATCTTTTAAGAATGTAATAGGTTAGGTGTTATGCTGTGCTACCCAGGTTTTCGCCCCATGATACTCGTTTCGACGGCGAGCGAGTATGGTGGGTTTCCTGGTAGTGCTAGAACTCGCTATGCCTCTTTCCCCCCTCCTGTTTTTCTAGCTTGAACTGGTTGTATTTCCGTTCGTTGCAATGGAAAGGGGTATAAAGCCCGGTTCTAAAAAAAAGTAGGCCCTGTCTACCACACATCTAGATATGCCCCAGTTATTGGACATCTAAACGACTTAATCAAACGTTGATAAAAAAAAAATCTTGGCTTAAATCTCCGTGTAAAATCAATGACATAGAACTTAGATGTGTAATAGATAGGGCACATCTAGTTGTGATATAGCAAGAAGGATCTAGCTTTGCGAGGCCGGTTGACTCACAAAGAAAGTCGGATCTTACTCCGGAGGATAGGTTCGTTATGAGAGCGGGGGTAGCATCAATGCCAAATCATAACCTCGTCCCCGCCGATGTTTGTGCCGGGGGAGGTGATCGCCCTTAAATATTTTGGCGGTGTGGCTCTTCCTCTAGTGGATATTGGTGAACGCGGCGGAGCGAGCTTTTGTAGGGGCGTTTCATGAAGGTGGGTATGGCGGCCCTTGACAGAGGTTGCGCTGACCGCTACTAGTTGCGGTATGACGACATAATCAGTCCTAGAAGTATAGTGACAATGTAACACCTAATTAGTATTTGGATGTGGCTTGGTTAAAAAGATACGCCTAGTAATGTCAGATCAAGATTCCTTTTTTCGAACTTTGGATGAAAAATGTACCGATGCGATGGGACGCGGCTAATCTGCACCCGAGCTCATATGCTCCCGCATGAACAGTAAAATTGAAAAAAAATCAAAAAAATTCAAAAAATTCCAATTTTTTTTGAGAGAAACATTGACAAAAGTTCTAAGTGCCTGCAAACATTCGTCATGAAATCACATTCCTAGAAGGTGTGGCAAAAAAAACAAAAATAGTACTCTGAAAAAGCTACTTTCAAATGCATTTTGAAGCATTGAATTTGTTTTTTTTTGCCACGCCTTACAGGAATGTGATTTCATGATGAATTTTTGCAGGCACTTAGAACTTTTGTCAATGTTTCTCTCAAAAAGAAATTGGAATTTTTTGAATTTTGTTTGATTTTTTTCGATTTTACTGTTCATGCGGGAGCATATGAGCTCGGGTGCAGAATGGACTTCTCGCGATGAGATGTCCATCGCTATAGTAATGTATTTCAGTGCCAAGTCATTGCCATGGCGAACCAGTGCAATTTTTTTGAGCAGTCAACAGGAGGCGATCGCCCACCTGAACTCATTTTTTGTATTAATAAAGACATTCGGATCAGTGATTACATAGCTCCGCGGAGCAGAGAGAGAAAGAGAGAGAGAGAGAGAGAGGGAGAGCGAGAGAGAGAGAGGGAGAGCGAGAGAGAGAGAGGAGAGAGAGAGAAGGGGGAATCAGCTACAGATAGATTCGCACCACAGCAGTAACGGGGCATAGTCAACGCGGGAGGGGGGCCGGACCACCCACAATCGGAGGTGCTCCCGGACTGAATGCCGCAAGTCAAGATCGGAGCTCCGAATGTTATCGAACACCATCCGGTTCCGGGTCTTCCAGACGACCCAAAGGACACAACACATCGCCATGCTTAGAAGCGGACGAGCCCAGGAGGGGTGGCAGGCGGTGAAGGCACGCCAAACAAAATCGACGGGCATATTGCGGAGGCCGAGAACGCGCTCCCACATCGGATGCAAGCGGAGACACTCGAAGAACAGGTGCATGATCGTCTCAGCCCGGCCAGGGCAAAAGCGGCAGTCATCATGTTCGAGGAAGCCTATCCGACGCAGGAAGCCCTGCGTACGAGTGTTACCGTGTCGAAGAACCCAGACAAACACTTTGACTTTGGTGTGCCTTGGCCGCTTATACTTTTCGAATTACACCCTTGGATTATGATCTTCAACATCACTACCATAATAACTTTCTTCCATTTATCCTCTTCAATCAATCTTGCTAAGGCAAGGGGTACGAACCAAAGCTACATGTGGGACATGTCGGCACATAACAGAAAAACCTAAACCCGCATGAGCCAGTGCAGACAAAACTAATTATGTTTATAACATTCAACAAGATCCTAGTTACACGACACATAACTAAATGTGCCACTTATACTTTTCAAATTGTGGAACACCATGAGATTAGGATCTTCTTCAACATCAGCACCATATATGACATTCTTCTCATTGTCCTCTTGGGGCAAGGGGCACAGACGTGATGCATGTGCACATGTCGGCCCATAACAAGCAAAGGTATACATGGCCAAAACGAGATGCCTCCACAGACACACGTACTGATCAGTCGTGTCCTCGTCAGTTCAGTTCGTACGTTGTGACAAGCTCTCAATTATCATTTACGACTAGGCCTGGGCATGCATGCCATGACAAACACTTCACTTCAGAAGAATAGGCCTGTCTCAAGTCTCCGTCAAATAGTATACATCGTCCTCCTCAGAAGAATACCAGTATGCGTCGACTGTGTGCATGCTTGCTCGATATTCGCCTCCTGGACCTACCACAACAGTGCTGCTGCTGCATGAGGGGGCAAACCTCTCGTGTGGTAAGAAAATTTGGCTGCTAGTTTGGTTGTTGGAGTATGACTATTTGCATTGATACTTTGAATACTGAAACTAAGAGAATATATATATATATATATATATGGCAAACTAAGAGAATATATATATATATATATATATATATATATATATATATATATATATATATATATATATAGGGCTCCTCTTTTATACTCCCAGGAGTACATACTCCCACTCCCTAATGGGTCTTTGGGTTGGATATCCAGTAGCTAACAAACCAACCGATAAGAAAAGGAAGCGATGCATGCAATAGTCGCAGTGTGCATGCATGGGCTTGATCCTATAATTAAGCAACGATATTTGTGGAACAGGAAGTTTGTTTAGGTTGCAGGCCACATGCTCCACGTAGTATATAGAAGTACATGTCCTCCACTTGAAGGTACGTAGCTAGCTATTGTATACATGTGGTATATATACATAGCATTTTATTATATTGCTGCTGTAATATTTTTTGGAAGTCATATAGTCCTTCCGTCCCAAAATAAGTGTCTCACTTTATATTAGCTCTAGTACAAATTTGTACTATGCTCAAGACACTTATTTTGGGACGGAGGGAGTAATATAAGTTTAACAAATTGTGTCATTTTGATTTTAAGATTTAGTATATACTCCTCTTTGGAACGAAGTATATACCACATATTTACCACAGACCACTTCTGGCCCTTCGAGAGTATATACCACTTCTTTTCATATGGTGTATATACTATATATTTTGAAATGAACTACATACCATTTTTTGTGATGGAGTATACCTTTTTTTACACTGCTTAGAGTAGCGGGCGCTTTGTTTACTGCTCTTCTTAGTAATGTAATGCTACCATCAAAAGTAGTGCATATAAGGTACTAATTTCAGGTACATAGATTGTACCGACTCTTCTCTGTATAAATTCACGGCAAGTAACATACTGTTGAAATCAAAAAGATAGTTTTTTAATGTGTGAGTATATATACTATTTTTCTGGTTCAGTATATACTACATTTTTTTTACGAAATATGCATTTTTGTGAGTCGGTAAATATTACTTTTGTTAGTCAGTATATACTTCATTTTTACTTTTAGTGCATACCAAAATAGTTGTGTCGAGTTATAGCTGATGGGTATATACTACTACAAAAGGAGTATATAGTTTCTTAAGGAAATACATGAATTAAAAGGAGTCTAATCCACGAAGAAGTGTACAATTCAATTCCAAGCATCTAGATCTGGTGTCCATAGTATGTGGCTCATAGACAGAAAATAAAGAAACACTGTCGAAGCAACACGATTGTGGTCGTCGACGTCCATGAGAGAAGTTGCAGTAATCCATGCGACGGGAGGCGTCATCGCCACCAGTATGCCACGTCAACATTCGGAAGACGCACGCTGGTTGGCCGGCCGGTGTTCGATGCATCTATCAAAACCGAGGTAGATCGAATCAGCCGCAACAGATGATGTCTTGTATGATGAGATTAGAATTCCAGCTCAAGTATGCAACATGTCAAGTTCAGAGGTAACACAGAAGTGGAATCCCAATAAAAAATAAAAAAATCCAAGTGCAAAGGATGCACGTACGTGCATCAGATGTGGTAATGTGGATGTATGTGCATCCACATGCATCCGTCCATCAGAAGAAAGCAAAATACATGAGCGCTTCTTATAGAGATACGGTGATCATATCCTGGTATATGCAATATAAAATTGATGGAAACCTCACCCGCAAAAAAAATAAAAAATTGATGGAAACCTTAGCTGTACTTAGCCAGCGCCAATTCGCCATGGATCGCTTGCCACCGATTGAGATGTCAGAGGAAACAACCGGCTCGCTTCCGCCGGATGGAATCAACGATCAGCTCACTTACCAATACGATAAAATCC